AAAGGGTGTGTGCTGGCAGCCAGTTGCTGGTGGCCAGAGTGCAGGCTTCAGAATGTGTCCTGAGTGTTTTTGTGTACATCTCCTCCCTACCCCACCCCCCAAAAAAACCAGCGGGAATAGAAGCAAATACTATTGAATGATGATGCACAGAGGAGATTATAATCATTGCAATGAAAAGATGAGTGTAAAAATGATGTTCCCCCATGTAAACTAATCACTCAATTCACAATAAAAAAAAATAAAATGTTCATCATTTTTTACTAACACATAACTAAACTAGTATTTTGTTTTCTGCTAATACTCATAACTGATAGACTTCTTGCTTATTCAAAATGGTATAAAGAGGATCAGAGGATCACAGTAATTAATGCTTTTATGAATATTTTTATATCAACTTTTTTCATCGTTATTATTGATCTTTATTATAGTATGCATAATCATTAATTGTTAACAATTTGTAGGCTACAAAGTAAATACTCTTTCTTGCTCTTTTAGGGATGCCCAAAAGAAGAAATACTGGTCACACTGAATGACATGGTTAAAAATATTCCAGATGCCACAAAACTTGTTAAGTATTGGGTTTGCCTTGCACGTCTTGAACCTGTCACAAGTCCTATTGAAAATATTATTGCCATCTATGAAAAGGCCATCCTGGCAGGAGCACAGGTAAGATAAAAACTTACCTTTAATGCAGGGTAAATGATTCAGAGTTGTTTGGGAACACATCACTGTACTTGGAAAAATTATGGTTATATATGTAGTAGTGGTGGCTCGTTTGGAGGCACTGTGCTCCCATTTGTGAGGAGTACGTGATGCTATTTATTATATGTTTGATTGAACATAATGGTTCCATGTATACTGGTTATTAATAGTAGGGTAAGCACTGGCCCACTAACCACAAGGTCAGAGATTGACCCTTTGGTAGGTAGTTCGTAGGTTTGAGCCTGCTAGCCGCTCCTCAGACGTAAGATAAGGGTTTTCTGCTTCTGTGAAGACACAGAAATCCTTTAAACGGTTACTATGATTGGAACCAACTCAGTGACGCTTAACAGCAGCAACAGCACTAATTAAGCTTCTGAATTACTTCTTTCCTGTGTACTGTTGTTGTTAAGAGTCGTCAAGTTGGTTCGACTCATAGTGACCCTGTATAGGGTTTCCAAGGAGCAGCTGGTGGGTTTGAACTGCCAACCTTGGAGCTCAAATTGACCTTGTGGTGCAGTGTATTATCCTGCAGCCCCACACAAGGATTCCTTCCTGTGTACTAGGGACAGTCAAGCCTTAGAAAATGGACATAAGCTGGAATGTAAATTTAATAAAACTTGCTCTGAGAAATGTTCCTATGGATTTTCTAGTTGGAAAATCTTCTTGAAAACTCCATTTTAAGTAATAAAATTTGCTTATTAAATATAAACAGTAAAATGAACTTGTAAATTATTGAACTCTGATGGTTTTATGGGACCTTTCCTTCACTTTAGATGTATACCTGAGCACTGTACTCAAGTTTATGAGTATTTTCCTTTCTGCTCACATATAGAAGATGGTGATAAATTGGTTTCATTGACATTGTATTCATACTGATTTGATACTTTAACCTCTCACCTCTTCCTGGTCTGTTGGTATAAAAATCCCTCAGTATAGAATAGATTGTTTCCTGTGGGTTTTGTTGTTTGGTTTTGGTTGGGTTGGGCAAGTGGTTCTATAACATACTTCCTTTAGACCAAGTTTCTTACAAAAGTGTTTTCTCTTGAAGATTTAGATTTTCTTTTTAGCTTTCCCATTAGAATTCACTGTGGCTTCAGAATAGCTAAGAAATGCTTTGCGAATAAAAAATTACAGAACCATTACATATTCTCACAATGGTTACTATTTATAAAATACTTTGTTGTTGCTGTTGTTAGGTACCATCGAGTTGGTGCCAACTGATAGCACAGCAGAATGAAACACTGCCCAATCCTGGGCCAACCTCGCAATAGTTGCCATGCTTGAGCCCATTGATGCTGCCACTTTGTCAGTCCATCTCGCTGGGAGTCTTCCTCTTTTTCTCTGACCCTCCACCTTACCAAACATGATATCCTTCTCCAATGAATGGTCTCTCCTGACAATGTGTCCAAAG